TAGATCCTCACATGAAGGATGAGACATTTAGGTCATTTATACTATTGTTCCTCATTTACACTCTTGTTCATTTTCCTAATTTTTGAGCATATATTTATATTTTTATTTTTGTTTCTAGCTCTTCTTTTGGTTATATTTGTAGCTTTAAATAATGTTTCTAGACATCAATTTCTGCTAAACTTAACAAAGGCCAAAAACAGACCAGGGTGACTGTTCTTTGCAGGTAGACTGTCTCTTTGCAAGAGAAGTGAAAGAGAGAGGTTGAGCTATGTAAGCCCAATTTCTGTTCCCAGTTTTACCACTTAGATAATTCAAGGCTCTCTTGTGGTAGAGTAGGTGAGCAAAAGGGACATTCAAATGTTACAATAACTGATGTACCTCCACATGGTAAAATAAAGGGAAAAAGCAGTACCCTCTCCCACTCCTTACCAATGATCACATTTCCATTGACAGATCAGAAAATTGAGGCCCAAAAAGTCACCTACCCAATGTTACTTAGTTAAGAACAGATGTTAGACTGTAGTCCAGTCTATCCTCTTTGGTATTCTAATTGTACTGAGGACATCCCTGCAATTAATTAGGGATAGAAACAATATGGTTTTATCATGTTGATCATAGGTGGGAGTGAGAATTTACAATATTACATTTTCATAGCTTTTTTAATTTTAAAATTATAACCTTTGCATTCTTATAAATTTACCAATTTATTCATGTGTATGTAAAGTAACCTTTATTATTGATAGTGTATTTGTTTTGTGAGCTTTTAAAAGTTTTTTTTTTTTTTGTAGAATATCAATTAAGTTCTGAAATGATACACTTAAGCATTAGGAGTATATATTATTTTTAGCTTGCATTTCTGTTTAAAGTGGTTGAACTTGAAAAAAAAATCAAATTGAGAATATTGTTTACCAAATAAAGAAAAGAAGACCCATCTTCTCTGGCCCAACTGTATATATTATGCATAATATTTAAGAGCAAGGTCTGGTTTCTATAAGATATTGACTTGAAATAGTGCGTTTTGGCATCAGAAATGTAGACAGCAGGCATTTCCTACACTTACTTTATTCCCTTATAACCAAGAAGTAGCTTTATGTAGATAGTTTTATGTAAGATGTGTCACAGATGCTGTGTGCTTGGAGATGTCTCACATTTCATTCAGTTTAATTCAATTTTCTGTATGGAAGAATGTGGGTAAATATATTCTTTCTATCAATATCTTGGAGACTTCATGCTGTGAGTATTTAATTTGTGAAATTTGCTTTGACTTCCTTGAAAGGGAATGCTGAGTAAATGTGATGGTAATTTTATGTGTCAATTTGACTGGGCCACAAGAAGTCCAGATAACTGATTGAACATTATTTCTGGGTGTGGCTGTGAGGGTGTTTCTGGATGAGATTAGCATTTGAATTGGTAGACTGAGTAAAGCAGATGGCCCTCCCCTACATTGATGGGCATCATCTAATCCATTGAGGGCCTGTATAAAACAAAAAGATAGAGGAAGGTCAAAGTAACTCTGCCTGGCTGCTTGAGCTGGAACATTTATCTCCTATCCCTAGTGCTCCTGGTTCTCAGGCCTTCAAACCTGGACTGGAATCTACACCATTAGCTGTCTGGCTCTCAGGCCTTTGAACTACAGCACTGGCTTTCCTGGGTCTCCAGCTTGCAGATGGCAGATCATGGACTTCTTATCCTCTAAAATCATGATAGCCAATACTTTATAATAAGCTTTTCATTATATATCTCTATCTCTATCCTTCTGTCTAATTATCCATATAAATATCTAATCATCTCTTGTTGGTTCTAATTCTCTGGAGAACAGTAAATGAGATATTTGACTTGAATCTGGCAAGTGAATGGCTTTTCTTATTGACACTGGTCATGATTCCTCTTTCTCTAAGAGATGCTTCAAAGGAGATGGTGAGCATGTAGCTGGTTCCAATTTTAGAGATTTATTAATCTTTGTATGTATAACTTTTGTGAATAGACTGGGAAGTGATAGAAACTCAAAGATTAGAATAGTTACAAGATTAATGGAAGAAGGTGCAAGGGGAGGTTAAAAAATACATTTCATATACCAATAAATGAATAAATTTTACTCTAACATTTGTTAACAGCACTGACTGTATAAGAGAACTCTTATAGACAACAAATTGGTAACAATAAATGGCAAGAAATAGTAGTAGCACTGAATGGCAGAGAAGTAACTCTCAAATTCTGTTAGGTATCCTTGGCTACAGGTGAGACGCTTTCTCAAAGTAGACTCTATATTTTCTTGGGGATGAAATCAATGTCACACTGTGTGTACTAGTCAGAGTTCTCCAGAGAAATGGAACCAATAGGAGATATATGATTTATTATGAGGGATTGGCTCACATGCTAATAGAAGATGAGAAGTCCCTTGATCTGTAGTCTGCAAGCTGGAAACTGGGTGAAGTTGGTAGTGTAATTCAGTCTGACACTGAAAGCCTGAGAACCAGAGGAGTGTATGGTATAAATCTTAGCGCAAGGGCAGAAGATGAGATGAGATGCCCCATCTCAGTCAGTGAGCTGTGTGTGGGAGGCAAGCCTATGGGCAATTCAACTGATGCACCTAGACAGGGTGGTTGCGATATGAGAAGATCTGATGTCTAGAAAAGAAAGGAATTGGAATAGAGAAAAGTAAGTATGTGGAGAACAAAGATAAATGTCTAACTTCATCCCCCCACCCCCTACTTTTTTTTTTGCAGAGATTGTTTTGGTAGATATTTAAAAAGGAGAGACTAGCTAACACCTTTTAAATCTTGAAAGAAAGAAAGGTGCCCATTTGTGGTGAGCAGAACAGAGTACTGGGAATGAGAAATGCTATAATCAAAGTAACAGCTGTGTGGTTCTTTTTCTTATTCTAGGGTCCCATGAGTGACCTGGGAACTGCTTTACATCTATTATAACCAAGAAAAATCACTATAAGCAAAACCTAAATTTAGGAGAAGGATCTGTGAAAGGTTACATTATATTTTAAAGAAAACCTTATTTCTTACATAGAAGTTTCCATCCATCTCTGTATTTTGAATTATGTTAGTCATATTTATGTTTTATAACCACCTCTCACTCACCCCCAGGCAAAAACAATCAAATACCTACTTATTACCTAAAATCACCAGGCCGGCCCAAACTCATTTTCTTATCAGAGTTTATTGTTGTACACATGAGGTACCATGCTACTATCAGAATTATATGCAGGTTTTTTATTTTAAAAAACTCAGAGAAAATAATGTTTCCAGTAGTTTTCATTCAATGTGAATGACGAGAATATTATAGCTATAAACATTGAAATAACCATTTCATTTCTTCCTGAGGAAGTTTCACATTTGAAACAACGAAAAAGGGAATTCTATACAAAGCTAGTTTTAAATCACATTATCTTTCGTTCTTTCCTCATGTGTATTTATGTTACTTTCAGAATAGCATAAAAACCATCTGGAGTATATAATATGGAAAGTACGCATGTCGTCTAGAATTTGATGCTGTCTCCAAGACACATTGAGTGGTCAAAAATTCTTTCAAAGCTTTGCTGCTGCTATAGGTAGCATAATATATATACTTGTGAATGAGTAAATTCTGGAATGCTTTCTTCCTTTTCTCTCCTTTCTTTTAAGCATTAAGTATGCTTTTGACATTATGTTAAAAGGTGAGTTGTTCAGTCAACTAGGTTTTACCTACATAAAATTAGGCCATTAGCTGCTTTGTTTAGAAGCTCACGTGTACATCTCATCATTAGAGCATAAACGTATCAGTTTCTTTCTTTTTTTTCTTTTATCAGCAGAAATGTTGCCAAGTAAATACATAACATTGTATGTAACTGCTGGAGCCTATTTTACCTATGTTTGACTCTTTTAAGCCAGTTTTCTTAAATTAGTGGTGATGAAAGACTGATAATTTTCCTAACATGTTTGGCATGTGCGGTTTCAAAAGGGGCATCAGTAACATGAGGACTAAGTTTACCATATTTGTCCAAATGACTTTGATTTTGCTTCTCTAGTCAGGAGTCTTAAAAATTAGTTTTTTCTCCAATTATCTCTGTTAAAAGTTTGTTTAAAAATTAGTGTATACTTTGGGTACATAAAACTTTAAAAATATTTAATTAGCAATTATAATGTAAATTAAAAATTTTATAAAAGGTGGAATTATTTCACAAGTTGTTTTCTAATTAGTGAATAAAGGATAGAGTTTAGTTTTAGACATAATGACAATGAAAATATCTGGGTTACAGATTTTTCTGCATACCTTTTTTTTCTAATTACACCTTTGAAAATATTTTATAAAGGTTTGTAATTGTAGCAAAGAATTTATTTACTACTTAAATTTTATGTGTATGTACAGTATATTTAAAAAGCAAGTAATAACACAAGAAAATGAGTATGACTTACTCTTTTCTTTTTTGAATATTTTATTAATCATATATATCATTTAAAATTTAAGTGTAAATATATTTCAAAAACCATGCCTTGCTCACCTCTGAACTTCCTATATTTAATTTAGTAGGTAATCTATAAATTTAACTATGCTCTGTTATCTTTCAAAAGACTGGAAATATTTTCAAAAATGTAACTCTGCCCTGCTTATGTTTCTCTGCCTTGTATCAAAAGTATCATTGCAAATATTGGGTTATAAATCATATATTAATTTGCTTTTTGTTATAAATCTCTACATTACACAATTTTATTTTGAGTTATGTGGAAAATGTAGTTTTTCAATAATTTAAATGTAAATAGTCTGAACACATAATCTAGAAAAACTGTCCTTGATTTTCATTTAACAAGTTTTGCTCTGGGGAACATTAAAAAAAAAGCTACTCACATTTAAAAGTCAATCTGTTTCTGGAGATGACACGTACCTCGGACTCTTTGCATGCATTTCTGTAGAACTAGTGAGGGCTACTGGAATAGATTTGCAGTTTACAGCAAATGGACACAGAGTTCTCAATGATGTATCTTTAGACCCCTACAATTTCTCTCTTATAGAGGATTTGGTCAGTACACTTTACAGTATTATTTATTGTTCTGGTATACTCAGTGTGTTTCTATTTACCATCCAACAGCATTACAATATGTATTTCAGCATAATAGTTACATTATAATGGAGTTAGCAATTTTTACATAAATGCACTAGACTATATAAAAAATCATTTTTTTTGCTATAGAACTTATCTTTCTTGTTGTTGTAGATAAAGTTCATATATAACTTTTCCACTCTCTGATCTAGCACAAATTATAATTTACAATTCTTTTTAAATACTTCAGTGGATTTAAATTTTGGCAGGCATTTTTCATGGGTGTTAGGCTTTTGACATTTTATGCTACATTGTGATGTTTATTTCGCTTCTTGTTTTGTAGGACACTTTATAGAATCAAAGAATAAGAAAACATCATACAGGCAAACAATGGTCTAAAAATCTACAGACACAATCTTAGTTGATATACAAAAGTGTAAATATTACTCTGAAATGGAACAGTTCTGCATTGTGTTTGGTATTTATGTTGGTTGCAATTGACTTCCACATGAATGCACAGTAGTCTACAATAATCCCACAGGCTCAGATATGGGTTTAGAGAAAGGCCATAGGCCTCAAGGCTTGTAACAGATATATTTTCTTTTTTCTTTTTCTAATCATCCACATGCCAGCACATGGAAGGAACTTTGTTCTTTTTTCTTGTTTGAAGAGGTATATTTTCCAACAGCCTTTTGGTAGCTTCTGGAAGCTTTGGAAAAGGTGCTTTTTACATGGAAGATGAATTCTCAAGTTTCTCTCAGTGCTATCTCACTTTCTGCAGCTCCTGTCTCAGCCAGGATGGCAGAGGATGTCCCAGTTTGTGCAGCAGCTTTGAGAGTTCCATGTTGTGATCTCGATAGTAGCTTGACAGAAATGCTCTGCTCTGGGGAGAGAGGAGGAGATAAAATTATTTTATTTTGCTTATTTAAGTATATTTTACATACTTTGACTATGTTTAAATAATTATCAAGTATACCAGATCTGTATTCAAGTGTACATTAAACAGGTGGAGTATTTATTTCAGCACATCCTATAATGTTTTGTTGACAGTGTTGGTGACGGGTACTGGCATTTTTCTCTACTAGGAGGTGAGGAGAACATCATGGTGACAGTACTGCCTCCTCCAACATGTCTTACAAATTTGTATTTCCATGACCTCTATGGAGCCTCCTTTACTCCTGCCTCCTCTCTGGACACTATTTGCAGAAAATCAGCCTCTTTACTCCCTCAAATAAACCCAGTATGTATTACATAGTATCCTTTTTGAAAGATCTAGAAGAACTGATATGCTGAAAAGTTGTATTTTTATCTTTCTCTACCACCAAATTTAGTATTATGTCTCAGTATGTCTGTGTTAGACTGGAGTAAAATGAAATGCTAAGAAAGATATTCTGCAATGTCTCTTAGACATTTTAGTTTTAATAAATATATAGGGAAGCAGCTTTGACATAAGTGAAAATGATGTATTTTATATTACTTTTTTGAAATATTATAGAAATTGCCATTCAATTTCTTTTAATGTATTATGATTGTTTTCACAGTGCTCTAAAGGTGTATTTTAATAATCAACCGAAGAAAACTGTAGTTCTGTGAATGCAATTTCTTTATCAAAACAAAAGAACCCTTCCCCTGCCCCATGCCTTCTATATAGAATTTAATTATGGGCTTATTGAGGACAGGCTCACTCTCTGTCAGGCTAGGCACAAAAAATGGTCTTCAACATTTTGTTAGATAAAAGTATTCAAATAAGTTTAGATCACCTTAGGATTCTCAGACCACTGTGGGATTCTCAGTTACCGTAATGTATTAAACATTGTGGGGAAAAATCCCAAATAATATTTTAATTTCTGATTTCTAAAAAAACCTTACAAATCATAATCTATTTGCATTCATATATCCAAACTAAATACTAATCAGACTTATAAAATAAAAATATTATTAATAAATCTGAATATATATGAAATAAGCATTAAAGTAAAAATACAGGGTAGACAAACTGAGAAAACTGTGTCATTAAGTAATCACGATGTTACCATGCTAAACAGAATAAACATGAAGTGCTAGACACATATCACAGAGTGTGCATGTTTCCATTCCCAAGAGCTTAAATTATCTGCTAGTATGTTAGACATTTGGGAAGTATATCAATTCTTTTACCTTATTAGCATACTAACAGTTTAAAGCTTAGTATATTATATCAGTAATTAATATTATCACTCAGGCCACATTTATTACTACAGAGTGACTGAGGCAATGGAAAAAAATAGAAATTTTTTGGTCCTATTTTCAATTTCCAGTCGATATATTTCCTGTCTTGGTTTCAGTTATTATTTTTAGAGCTGAAATTTCTATGCAGACATCATTCTTTTCAGAATGAGATGTTATCTTGTTGTTCTGATTAAAAATGGCAAATTCTATTGTTTTCTTTTATTCTTGAATGAATATGAGTATATCATTGGAAAAATCAAAACAAGCAATCTAGATGTACTGAAATTCAAATGTCACTTAATTTTTAGAAAGGCTGAATTTTGACTTTAATCACTTTTCTAAGAAAACAGATATGATATTATATATCATTTGGCTTATTTAGTTTGTATTTTTTAGCTCTATACTTACATCAGAATCCATTGGAGGGTATTTTCTTCCTTTACTCCTTCCAAGGCATTTTGTTTTACCTTCTTCTAGTAACTGACACCAGAAACCTTTATGAGAATCAAAACTTTAAAAAAAAAAAAAAGTATTTTTCAAGCAATTTATAAGATATACTGACTAATAACATAAATATTTTTATTTGAATATCAAACTATAACCAGAAAAACTGGAATTTTTTTACATTACTTTGCATAAAGTCTTTTGGCATACTTCTGAATTCTCAGTCCATCTGTCATATTTGTGAGTTTGCCAAATTCCTAATAGAAAACTGTCAACAGAAGGTCTCCTATTAATAGAAATTAATAAGGCTATTTCTTTCATCTGGAAGGAAAAAATTCATAAATTTCAAGCCCATGCTTTTCCTTTGTAGGGTTTAAAAATGACAAGTCAGGCTTTATCCATGTCTATGGATTTAGATGGTACGTGTACCATACAACTACTGGCCAAGAGAAGAGAAAGGGTTTTGGTGTGACACGGAGTGATTACTTTCAGGATTCTCTAGCTGTAATCCATTTAATTTTTTTCCAGAGCTACTTTCTTCTTTTGGTATGAGCTCTGTATTAAAGTAACAGCACCTATACATGGGACTATCATGCCATAATTTTAATAAAAATAAAGATAGCATATTATATTTTAGTTTACCAAAATGTTTCATATAACTTTCTCATTTGAGCCTTCATTACAGCCCCATAAGGAAATGGTGTATAGGATTCTTTGTACTTTACAGCACTTAGCATAGTGTTTGGCTGTTGTGAACTTTCAAGAAATATTAGTTGAATATAAAAGGAAGTAGAAGAAAATGTTTGTCGAGGTTTATTTATCTTGGACTATATACTTTTGCAGTATTCAGTTCATGACTCAAGTCTAGGCCTCCTGACTAGGTTCAGGGCTTTTTCTTATTCACTTGTGTCTAGGTATGTTTTGTATTATTAATTGTAAATAAAATAATAATTTTCATGCTTAGATATAAAAGTGAAATAGTCAATAATGATAATTCTTTCTCATTGCTTTTGTTATTCAATGAAACGATTGCCGTTATTTACTTCTCTCTTAGAAAGAATTATCATTTAGGGTCACTTTTTCCTTTTGTTTTTAATCTGTACTATTTCTCAGAATGCTTAAAATTATAGTGTGAACAATGAACAATTGTAAATTTAAATAAAAGCATTTAAATTAGCATAAAAAAATGAAATACCTAGGGATATATTTAACAAAAATTGTGTGCCCAGTCTACCACTGAAAACTACAAAACATAGTTAAGAGAAATTATAGAAGACCTAAACAAAGAAGGGAGCTATACCTTCATAGATACTATGTAGAAATGTAAAGGACCTAGAGGAGTTAGAACAGTTTGAAAATATAAAGTTGATGATCTTATACTATTTAATTTCCAGATTTACTATAATGCTATAATGTTCAAGGCTGTGTGGTATTGGCATCAATGGACTGATAGAACAAAATAAAGAGTACAGAGATAGACCCACACATCTATGGTCAACTGATTTTCTAAAAACAGGTGCCAAAGTAATTCAGTGGGAAAGGATTAGTATTTTAATCAGTTTGCACTAAAAAAGTTGGATATCTATATGGGAAATAAAGAAACATTGACCCTTACTTTACACTGCATATAAAAATTAACTTGAAATGAATCATTGACCTAAACCTTACAGGTAAAACTATAAAAATTCTGGAAGAAAACAGGAAAAAAACACATTGAAAATTTTTGTAATCTTGGGTTAGGCAAAGATTTCTTAGGATAAACCATAAAAGAAAAATAGTGGTAATTTTGAATTCATCAAAATTTAAAATGTTGCTCTTTTAAAGATACTTAAAAAAATGAAAAGGGAACCACAGACTTGGAGAGAGAGATTTGTAAAACATATCTCATAAAGGGCTTATATTCAGACTATATAACTCAACTCAATATAAAAGACAACAATGCCAATAAAATTGGGTAAAAGATTGGAACAGACATTTCACCAAAGAACAAATGTGAATGATCAATAAGCAAATGAAAATTTGTTCAATATCATTAGTCATTAGAGAGATGCAAATTAAAATTACAAATGAAATAGCACTACACACTCACCAGAATGACTGAACTTAAAAAGACCAATACCAAATATTGGCAAAGATGTGCAACAAGTAGAATTTCTACCTTGTTGGTAGAAAATAAAAATATGACAGCTACTTTGTAAGATTTCTTGTAAGTTTAAATAGATAACTACTATATAACTCACCAACCCCATTTCTAGGTATTTATTTACTCAAGGGAAATTAAAATATATGCCCATGCAAAGATCGTTACATAAATGTTCATAGCAGCTTCTTTCATAATAGCCCCAAAGTGAAAACAGCCTTTCTGTCCATCATCTGGTGAAAGGATAAACAAATTGTGGCATATCCATAAAATGGAGTACTTAGGAAAAAACTGATTACTGACAGATGTAACGACATGGAGGAATGTCAAAAAGCATTATGCTAAGTGAAAGGAAGTAGATCAGTGATTGCCAGGGGTCAAGGGTAAGGGGAAAGGATTGACTGCAAAGAAGCATGAGGAAACTTTGTAGACTAATGGAAAAGTTCTATATCTTGATTATGGTGGTGCATACAACTGGATACATTTGTCAAAATTTATTGTACAATCGTAATGGGTGAATTTTATAATATGTAAAGTTATACATCAATAAAAGTGATTTAAAATTATAGTGTGATTTAATGTGTGTATGTATGTATGTATGGGGGTGGTCTGTATGTAACTAATTTTGTACAGACGATAGCCCTATGAAAAGAATGTAAACCTAGATCTCTGCCTCTGTATTGCTTTGGAGGCAATAAAGTAATCATATCCCATTTATGCAAGGCCCGTTTCTCATAACTATTAAAGCAATTGTGTGAGATCAGGACGTAACACGATATGTTTTCATGCTGTTTACATTCTTTTTTGAATCGGTAAGGCAACTGAATAAATTAGTTCCATATTCAGAGTTACAAGGAGAGCATTAATAAAGAGTACGTAATTTAAATAATCTATACATGAAAGCCTTTGAGAAACTCTAATGCAACAACATTTCTGGAGGTTTGTTATTGATATAATATTTTTCATTAACGTTTTGCTGTCAGCAATTCCCACAATTGAATTCTGACTCATTTTAAATATTCAAGTGATCACAATTCAGAACCAGACCAGCTACTGTGTTTTTACTAATACACCTCACTGTACATACATGATGGAACATACATATGCGCTATGTTAAATTGAGCAGCCTTCTGAGAGAAGATTTTCTGAGATTGATCTAAGAAACGGTGAGCTTCACATGTTTAATTAAGAATCAGAAGAAAAATAGGTTTTTATTTCATCTGTGCTAATTGATTAGATCTTATGCAGTAGGGCGTCATGCTTGGCTTTACTGAGAAAAAAAAAATGCATGTGTGTGGCTGGCACCTCGCCCAGGCGTCTGGGTGCATAGGTTCTTAGGCCTTTGTGTAAGTGTGTCAGTACGGAAATAAGGAGAGGAAGGAAGTAGGGAGGTCACATCTCCTCTCCAGGTGGCTTGAGTGACTGGGTCTGTTTCCCCATAGAGAACAGTCACAGATAGAAGGTGAAGGGACTGCTGCTGATAAAGGGCCTTGTAAGTTTGGAAACACAATCAATACTATTTTAGAGCCCAAGTGAGGAAGTTTGACAGAAGATGGGAGAAAGATCTCTCCACATCCATTCAGAGCAGCAGTTGTCCCTCTGGAGAATAGCCTCGGTACCACTGATGTCTTGTGAAACAACAAGGAAATGATCTTTTTATGTAGGTACTGGTGGCCATGATCTTGGGTGGGCCCCTCCTTTCAAGGCTTTCAGGAAGTGAAAATTTCAGAGGAAGTGTTATGTGTTGTTTAGTGTTGTCTCTTATGGCTACTACCCTATCATGGAGTTAAGGATACTTTATCATTGTGTCCCCAGAGTTAGGCACATAATAGTCATTCAATATAACTTCATTGGATTAAAGAGTAAAACAATGATGGACCAAAATGATTTTTAATCTTGTGTGGAATATCACCTGGGGATGTCTAGTAATTACTGGAAGATATTTGTGGTCAAGAGCACCAAGAGCACTCCAATGATTCAAACTATAACTAGTGATGTTTCTATATTAATGAAAATGTAACCTTAATTCTCCCTTCAGACAGGTGAATTCTAGGGAACATTCAGATTACATTTAGAAGGTTAATGTATATCTGAAATGCCTTTAAATTGAAATAACATTTCCATGAGAGAATACTGAATTGCAAATAGGGTAGATAAATTCAAAATCAAAATACCATCATTTAGGTGTTACAAATATAGGACAAGCACAGAAGTTTTCTTATCAGTTCTTTCCTAACAAACATACCTTTATGATTTGATGATTCATATTACTGGTACACATTTTATTTTTAACAGCTTTATTGAGGTATAATTTATATATCATAACATTCATCTATTGTATGTGAACAATTCAATTGATATTTAGCAAATTTATGTAGTTGTACAGCTATCACCACAATTCAGTTTTAGAAAATTTCTTCCACCCTGCAAAAAGCTCTAGAGTCCACTGCAGTCAATCTCTTCTGTCAAACCCACTCCTAGGCAAGCACTTACTTCTGACTACAAATTTGTCTTTTCTGGACATTTTATTTTTTTTCCCCTGGGATTACTATACCAAATTAAACCATTAACTAGATAATGGACATTTGGATTGTTGCTAGTTTTTAGCTATTACAAATAATGTTGCTGTAAACATTCACTTACAAGTTTTTATGGATTTAGGATTTCATTTATCTTGGGGTAGATTCCTAGGAGTAGAGCTGGATTATTTGGTAAGTTTCTGTTTAATTTTTAAGAAACTGTAAAACTGCTTTCCAAAGTGGCCATGTATTATGTATTACCATCAGCAATATATGAAGGCTCCAGTTTCTCCACATTCTTTCCAGTATTTGGTATTGTCTTTTGGAATATAGCCATTTGGTTTGTCTTTTGGATTATAGCCATTCTAATGGGTACATAGTGGTATTTCAATTTGGTTTAAATTTGCA